AAGAAACTCGGTTTACAACTAGGGCTGTCCTTTCATAGGAATTAATGTTGTCTGTCTAGGTAATCTAAATGCTGAGCATTTTTCTTTACTGAGTAAGTAGGTGTTTGCCTTTATGCCTTTTTCTTTTTTCTTTTTACTGTCCTTTTGGGATTTTATCTTGATTAATGGCATTTAGGTCTTTTGGCAAGTTGTCCGTTGCTTCCACCAACACTTTTGTTTTTTATTTAATATACATATATACCAGATAGGTTTAGAAACCATTGTGCTGTTAATATTTGTAAAGAATGTTTTGTGTGCATAGTTTCTTTCTTTCCAGGGACCTTCAGTTATTCCTATGTACATTTATTCTTTGTTATCAGATGATCTTACACTGGCTTGGTATATTACATTGTTCTGCAAGCAATTACTGTTTAAGTGACATTCATTCTTTATTATGCATTAACATGTGGGTTTAATTTGTTCAGGTGGTTTGTTGATTGTTTTCCTGTTATGATTTTTTATTATTTGCGTCATGTTCTCAGTGCAACTGTAGCTGATTTTTATTGTGTTTTTGTTGAATGTCTTGTGAAGAGTGGTTGATGTAAGGAAGTGTTTATGTATGAGTTTAATGAATACTTTTTCTACATTTGTTTTTACGTTTTTGTAGTATGGTGGGTTGAACCATATTATGTTTCTCTTCCTGTTGACTCTTTTGTGCTGTGTGGTGTGTATGTGAGTGTTGTCAAGAATCTACTATCTTTTAGGGGTGTTTCATATTCTTTCTTAGCTTTGTTAAATATGGTTTCATTGAAAGAATTGTTGGAAAGCTTGCAGTTAATGATTATGGTATCTGCTTGATTATTGATGGTGTGTGGCTGGAAGATGTGTGCATATAAAGTGATTTAATATTATGTTTTCTGTATAGTTTATATGTACCTTTTCTTAGGTTGAAGGAAACATCTAGAAAATCAACTTCATTTATGTTAGTTTTTTATGTCTACGTCGAAGTAGGGACATGGTATAAAAATAAAAACTGAATAAGCTAGAAATAGAAATAAAATTGGGAGCAGTAGTTATTGGAATTGTTTGGAGATAAATATCTTGCAATAAATAAATAAAAGAAATTGTATATAAAAAACATGAAAAATTGTATTTAATTAAAAATTCTATTTAACTGAAAAAGAACTTCTTTTGAAAAATGAATTCAATAATAAAGATGAAATCATATTTGCTTTGTTGTTATTTATTACAAAGTATAAAGGATTCAAAGTTTTCATTATTTCAAGCATTTTTCTTAATTGTTTCACCCCAAGCAAGATGATAAAAGCCACTAGGATGCAAGAGGTTACTGAAGGTGAAAGGAACAGAGAGGAGAGCAAAAAGAACAGGAATTAAGGAAACATAAGATTACAATTGACATTACACTTACATTTTGAAGATCCTTGCTAATGAAAAGCTAGAGTTCCACATGTGAGAAGTGCGAGAGAAGAAACTGTTAGCATATAACTTATGGTTATATATAGCAATTTCAACAGTAAAATGAGGAGACCTAGCTGCCAATCTAGTACTGAGCTCAAATTTGTAAAGTCAAGATACCAAAGAGGAAAGCTTATCAGAACAATTACCATGAAAATATTATTAGAAAAGGAACAGAGAAGCTATGTTATGACAGTGTAAAAATAAATAAAGCCAAGATGCCAGATCAGGACCGATAACATTGCAGATTCTTCTTTGGATTTTGTCAAGGATCTCTAGATACAGAGCAAAAGTATCAGATCAGATATGGAAGCAATATTCAATGCATGAATGAATGGTACTTATTTTATAAACAAGCAAAATAGGTTCTGGAAAGGTGAATTGTCTAACACGATACAGTGAATCAACTTTCCTAGCAGCAGACCTCGCAATTGATTTAATATAATCATTCTACTTCATATCAGTGTAAAACGTGAGACAAAGAAGGTGCAATGAGTTGCTCTCCTGAATGTTAGCATCAGCCATGTTTGTGGAAGGTAAAAAAGTTCTTTTGAATAATAGAGAACAGTTTTGTCTTAGAGGTGCTGAAATTAACATGCCACTTCTCGCCCCAGTTAACAACAGATTGAAGCTCATTTTCAAGATCAGTTACCAATTTGATTTTATCGCATGTATCAGAAAAGAGTAAATAGTTATGTCATCAGCATAGATACTGTGGGGTCAGTCTACACAGATTTTAGATGGAAAAATAAAATCTGAGTGTTGTGTCCCGAAATACAACACAAAATTATAAACAGCGCAAAGATTCTTCTTGGAAAAGAAGAAAACCAAGCTAAATACAACAGTAACATTTATACAGGCAGGTACATATATCTATATATTAAAAATCAATGTTCTTTGTTGTGGTCATGAAGAAACCAATAGTTCGTTTGTTCAAAATGATTCGTGAGTTTGCAAAGTTTGAAGTGATTTTGTTGAAAATGAGGAAAACAAGTGGTATGGTATGCCAATATGTTGTGTGTCAAGCACACATTAATGAAATGTATATAGCTGCTGGCTGATAGCATGCAATAGCAGTAGTTTTAAATACAGTGAACAAAACAAGAGATGAGACAAGACTTACTTTCGTCATGGCTTTATATGTTTTTCAGCATAGAAAAATCATTGCTGATTGACATGTTGTCATGGTAACATGGGACTATGCTGTTAATCATGGCAGTGCCTGGCTCAATGACTGACTGTTTCAGATCTAGTCACTGACTTTTATTCACAAACTGTTTTTATTGCTATGGCTTGGTTCTGAATCACTATCTGAGTTTTGCACAGGAATGCACTAGGTAACCTTAGCCCCTACCCTTTTCCAGGTCATTTGGTGTTCAACTGTGCAGACATCAGACAAAGCATCTCACGTGACTTGTTCTGTCCAATCAGGTTCCAGAAACCGCTTATTTATTTTGGATCTCTGTTTGTACAGAATTGTAAAATAGTTTTTTGTATGTACTGAATTTAGTTAGAATCATTTGTAGGCATCTCTTACTTGTTTCTGCATCACTTATTGGCTGTAAAATATAGGAGTTTATATCCTATAATACCAAGTCAGGAACGGATGACATTAGAAATGTCATTTTACACTCAAGTTATATAGTAGCATAGTGGTTATCAGTATGGAGAGCAGGATTGGTGAGGTATTCAAATTCCAACAGAGGCTGTTGCATTCATTGTCACACTATCTCTTCTTTGCTCTCCAGCCTTTGTTGATTAACAGTCTACGAGATTGACAACTCTGAATTCAAAATTTAGCTGGGCCTGGAACTGGTTCATTCAACCTGTAAAATTGCCTAATATGGTGATGCTATAGTCCTGTACTTCACAGGGTTAACTACTAGTAGCAACAGTAAATGCGCACTACCCCCAAAGTGTAATGGTTGGCATTAATGGGTTGATGCCCCATAAATAGTTTATCTATCTATCTCTTTATGTTTTGCACAATGTTGTGTTGTCTTCCAGTCTATGATGTAGAAGTAATTGTTCTTGACTAACATATTTGTAGTCATTTGACTTTATACAAAATAGGGTGTCCATTTTGCATATCTCTCTGCTTCACCCAGAAATGAAGAGGTTTCATGCCTTTTATTGATCTTGGACTTCTCCTAAGCACATGACCTTATCTCTCTCTTGAAGCTTAGTTTTCTTTTAACTTATTCCTTGCCTGGGCCACAGAACAATGAATCCATGTTTTTACAAAATCCAGTTTGCCCAATGGTGTTAGAGATCCTATCGGCAACATAGTGTTGTTGTGTTGTCTTCCAGTCTGTGACGTAGAAGTTATTGTCTTCATGTTGACTGATGACTGACTTTTTGTAGAGCAATTCCATTTTACATATGTCACTACACATGAAAAAAACAAAGCAGCACCAGGGACGAGGCATGAAGAAATCTGAAAACAGTTTAAGGCAAAATACAGATTGAAAACAAGGAAAGGGTTGAAACTTTTCCAAAAACTGACCAGCAGCTATCATGTTTTTTTTTTTACCACCTCCTCCTGTTTCATGTCCTCCTTTTGCCTGTTTTCCATTCTCATGTGACAGCCCTTCCCTTGCATCTCTTTAAGTATTATGCAAATTACTAAATACCCCCACAAACAACTGATTTTCTGCATTCTTGGCCTGTATGAACAGATATTGATCAGAAGTACTATTACGCTTAGCCGTCACATGAAACAAAGTGTTTTACCTTTTATAGCATTACACTGTTCTTTTATCGAGGCAGGTACCAACATTTTACACCTCTATCCTACCAGTACATTGGCATCTATTTATCTATTTCTTACAGTCTGTTCATATCTATCTATCTATCTATCTATCTATTACAGTCTGTTCATATCTATCTGTCTGTCTATCTATCTATTACAGTCTGTTCATGTCTATCTATCTATCTATCTATCTATCTATCTATCAGTCTGTTCATTCATCTGTCTGTCTATCTTACAGTCTGTTCATCTGAGTATCTATTTATTACAGTCTGTTCATGTCTGTGTGTATGTATGTATATATATATCTGATATTTGTATCTATGTTTCTCTGGGTGTATCTATATATATATATATATATTAGTCTGTTTCTATCTACACATGCACATATATATTTATTATATATATATATATATATATATATATATATATATATATATATATATCTACCTATCTTATATATATATTGTTATTCATCTATCAATCTATCTTAATGTTTTACTATTTATTCTATCTATCTATCTATCTATGACTTATAGTGTGTTTCTATCTGCCTAACTATCTTTCTATGTATCTTCAGATCTGAAACACAGTTTAATTTCATAAAATTCTCTATTCAAACCAACGTAAATATCAGACTTGTAAATGCTGATTTTCAGAGCAAATAAGCCACTTTTAGCTTTTAGATGAATGCTGCACACACTTCACATCTGATTGCAATCAGACATATGTAAAATCTGCAGCATTCACATCACTCGCTCTATAAAGGTGGGTAGACTGGTGAAAAGTTATTGGTTTAACAAAGAACACCTTTTCCCCACAGAAAAGATAGATAGATATGAATAGGCTGAGACCGATAGATAGATAGATAGGAATAGACTATACTATGTAGATAGATAGATAGATAGGAACAGACTGAAATAGATGGATATGGATAGGCTGAGATAGATAGATAGATAGACAGACAGACAGGTAGGAACTGATTGAAATAGATAGATAGATAGATAGATAGATAGATAGATAGATAGATAGATAGATAGATAGATAGATATAAAAAAAAAAATAAAAAGAAAGGAAGAAACTGAAAGGAAGATGAATGGACTGAAATCTTACAAAACATTTCCCACCACCCCCTGCCCCCGTCAACTAGATGTCAAAAATATTAAAAAATCTTTTGTTGTTCTTTGAAATATCTTTCATGATTTTAAAAATGCTTTTTTGTCAGCATTTTTCCTAACTCTCTGAAAGCAAGGAGTGAATAATAATGCAGGTATTCTGTATCCATTCTGGTTTTCTCCTCTTCCTGTCAATCACGACATGTGTGAGCCACCCTGAGTCAGAGTCACAACTGCCCATCTAGAGACGAAAGCCATTCCAGTTAAAGTCTGTCTATATTTGAAGCGGTATGGGTGGATATGAATGTCAATCAACTTGCACGTGAATAAATGTGTTCGGTTATAGTCTTTGCTATATTTTAGATAGATAGATATATGAGCAGGCAAAAATAGATAAGAACAGATAGATAGATAGATAGATAGATAGATAGATAGATAGATAGATAATACAAAACTGAAGAATAAAGTGAGAGATCAGATGGACAGAGATATTGTTAGAGAGATGAATTATGAACAGACTGAGATGTGAATAGAATTATATATATATATATATATATATATATATATATATATATATATATAAGTAGATTGATAGATATATAGATATGAACAGATTGAAGTAGATAGCTAAATATAACCAAATTGAGAGAGACCAGTATATATATATATATATATATATATATATAGAAAGAGAGAGACAGATATGGGCAAACTGAGGAAGAGCAAGAGAGAGAGATCAAATAGGCATAGATATTATTACATGGTTTATGAACAGACTGAGATATGAATAGAATATATATATATATATATATATATATATATATGTATGTATGTACATATGTATATACATATATCTATGTATATATCTATGTATGTATGTATATATAGCTAGCTGGCTAGAAATCTAGATTGATAGATTTTATGAATATTGAACTAGGTAGCTAGATAGATAGATATAACCAAACTGAAGAAGAGAGAGCAAGATCATATGTACATAGATATTCATAGATATATAATGATCTGACTGAGATCTGAATAGAATTTTATATATATATATATATATATATGTATATATATAGATGCATAGGTAGATGTAACCAGAGAGAGAGGATCCAATATATATATATATATATATATATATAAAAGAGAGAGAGAGAGAGAGAGAGAGAGAGAAAGAGGGAGAGAGAGATGAATGACCTGAGAAAGAATGAAAAGAAAATTCTTAAATTCCTCTGGAGAGAAAAAATGTCTAAGTTGAATGAATGAATGAATGAAGATGTAAGTCAACAATGAATGATTGCAGTGAACGAGTGACCGATTAATTGACAAATGGAAAACAGGAAGAAAGAAGCCAGTGTGCAAAGGAATCACGAGAATCAGTTGGGAAACAGTTAAAAGCAGAATCTGGTGGGTGTTTGAACTGCAACCGACACTGAGGCAGGGTAGATTTGGGTTGGTGGGAAACATAGGATAGCGGGTTTAGGAGGGAGAAAAGAAATACTGACCGGCAAGTTGTAAAATGGTTGAAGACAATAAAAGAGATGAGAAGAAAATGAGAAAAGGAGAGAGAGAGAGAGTGAAAGGCGGGAAAAAGAAAGTCAGGTAGAATGAAGGGAGAGAGAAATTGGAAGAAAGAAGAAATGAAGAGGAGAGAGTAAGAGAAAGAGGAACAAGAAAGAAAGAAAGAGTGAGGGAGTAGAAGAGTAAAGGGAGATAAAAAATGAGAGTGTGTGAGAGAGAAAGATGAAGAAGAAGAAGAAGCATAAAAGAAGGTCAGATAAAAAGAAAGAGAGAGAGTAAAAGAGTGAGAGAAAGAATGAAAGAGACAACAGAGAGAAAGAGAGTGTGAAACAAGAAGGAGAGTGAACAAAGAGAGTGGGAGAAATAGAGGAAGAGAAAATAAAAGATGGAGTGAGATTAAGAGAGAAGTAGAAAAATGAGAGCGAGAATGGTGAGAGAAAGTGCAGAGAGAGAAATCGGAAGAAAGACTAAGAGGTAGAAAGAGAATGAAAGAGGAGCAAGAAAAAAGAGATAGGGAGGAAAAATGAGCAAAGAGAGAGAGAAAGAAAAGGAAGCAGTCTAAAAGATGAAGAGGGAGTGAAAGAGAAGTAAGAGAGAAAAAGAGGGAAAGAGAGTAATAGAAAGAGGGGGAAAGACTGGTGAAAGAAAGAAAGAAAAGAAAGAAAGAGTAAAATAGGCAGAAAGAGAGTGAACGAAGAGAGTGCTAGAAATAGAGGAAGGGAAATAATAGATGAAGAAAGATTAAGAGAGGGAAGGGAAAAAATGAGAGAGAAAAAAGAGAGAAAAACAGGAAGAAAGACTAAAAGAGAAAGAGAGTGAAAGAGGAGCAAGAAAGAAAGAGAGAGGGAGAGATAAAGACAAAGAGAGAGAGAGGGAGAAAGAAAGGGATAGAGTCTAAAAGATGAAGAGAGAGTGAAAAAGGAATAAGAGAGAAATAGAGGGAAGGAGAGTAAAATGAAGAGTGAATGAAAGAGAATGAAAGAGACAAAAGAGCTAAGGTTAATGTCCTCGTCCAGGCATGGGCAGCCTTTTTCAAGCAGTGGGGCACATGATCTATCGCTGATCACAAGGCAGGCGGCACTACTAAAAAGATTCAAGGTAATTTTTCATATTAGTTACCTCAGCGATCTTCACTATAGCATACCATATCCGTATACATATACCTTAGAAATGAAAGATTTTTCTATAATTAAAAAAATGAAGTCTTTGTATAATATTATCACTGATGACAGTGGGGTTAATGCATATCACTGCACGTGATTTATTTCTAATTTATTACTTTGAAAATAAAAAAAGGAAATTTCTTCTCCAGATAAAAAAATTATGAATGTTTCTGGTTTCAAAAGCAAAAGATGTTTACACTTTTGATCTTCCATAGTGAAAATTGCCAATGTTTTTTGTTAATCATTTCACCCCAAGCAATGCAATAAAGCCACTAAGACCCCCAGTAGTTACTGAATGTGAAAGAAAAAGAGAAACATTATTAAGGAATAAGAACAGTAAAAGATCAGGAATTAAGAAGACAGAAGATAACGATTGATTTTGCATTTAAATTTTTGAAGATCAAAGTTGCCTGGAAAGCATGAAGCCAGAAGAGAGAAAATAAACTGTTAGCAAAGAAGTTACATCGAACCAATTCAACTCTAAAAATAATGAGACCTTGCTACCAATCTAGTACTGCAATTAAATTCATAAAGTCTAGGTAACTAACATAAAGGAAAATTCATCAGAACAATTACTATGAAAGTATTTATAGAAAAGACACAGTGAAGATTGCAGTGATGAAAAAGTGACTGAAGCCGGGATTTTTTTTTGGTTTGGTTTACGGCCTATCAACCTCAATGGGTTTATTTAATGCCAACAAGATTTTTACTGCTTGTAATATTTTTTTCAAAAATGTATTGCTGGCAATATTTTTTTTTCCAAATATATTGTTGGTAATTTTTTTTTTTTATCCAAAATGTATTACTGGTAATATTTTTTTTTCAAAAATGTATTGCTGGTAATAATTTTTTTTCTTCAAAAATTCATTGCTGGTAATAATTTTTTACAAAAATGCATTGCTGGTATTAAAACCTATTTTTACACTTTTGACCCCACTTTTGGGGTTAACTATTTTCCCATAGCTGGGACCCTAACAGGTGCTACCACCAGGGTCAGGGTGGACCTGGGAACATCAGCAATTAAAAGGTGGTTCCATGCTCCTCAAAACCTCCTGATCAGAGGTCTTGCTGTTGGATGTAGTTTATTGTCTTACCCAGGATGCTGAGGGGTGGGGGTTATTGCCTCACCCCAAGCAAGATGATAAAAGCCACTAGGATGCAAGAAGGTTACTGAGAGTGAAAGGAACAGAGAGGACAACAAAAAGAACAGGAATTAAGGAAACAGAAGATGACAATTGACATTGCATTTACATTTTTGAAGATCCTAGTTGAAGGAAAGCAAGAGTGTTCCACATGTGAGAAGTGCGAGAGAAGAAACTGTTAGCATAGAACTTATGGTTATATATAGCAATTTAAAATGAAGAGACCTAGCTGCCAATCTAGTACTGAGATCAAATTTGTAAAGTCAAGATACCAAAGAGGAAAGCTTATCAGAATAATTACCATGAAAATATTATTAGAAAAGGAACAGAGAAGCTATGTTATGGCAATATGAAAATGAATAAAGCCAAGATGCCAGATCAGGACCAATAACATTGCAGATTCTTCTTTGAATTTTATCAAGAATCTCTAAATATAAAGCAGGAACACCAGACCATGTTTTAAAATGATGAAAAATGTTATTTTCATTGAAAGTTTACAAATTTCATGAAACATTGTACTTAATCATTGTTTATGTATGAAAGAGTGTGTGATTGAACAGGTGAGAATGAAACAAAATAAAATTTTGTGAAATGTCTATTTTCCTTATGAAATTATGCATGTCATTCAGATAGATCAAATGGGCTGCATATGACTTGCAGGCCACAGTTTTCCCATAACTCACCATAATTCAGTATCTCTCTATATTTCTGAGATGAGGTATTATGTACATTATTTACATTATTTGGACTATTGTCCTCATTTTTGTTGCCATATTCATTACGTTTTGGCTGTTGTACACTCTGGCCTTCTTCAGGTGGTTGGAATGTCAAACTGAACCCTTTATGTCACTCACTGGGGTGTCATCAAGGACACATGGCACAGTGGATAATGTCGTTACTTAGATCCAGTGACAGGACCCAAAGAGTGTGAGTTCATAATTATTAACCTATCAAATAAAACTGAATGAATTTCTTTTTACAATAATGTTTACCCTCTGCAATGCTCAAGAGTCAGTCAAGGCAGAGGGTTAGAGAGTAAGAGGCACTGTTGTAAGCAAGGTGATAATGTCACCAACATATAAGAAGCCATCAGAAGTAAAAGAGAAGGAAAAGGATTTAGAAGCAAACAAAAACCTGATCCTAAGCAGGAAACAAGGATAAACCTCCACTACAGTTCAAAAGACTGGGGAGGAGTGTGAACTGGATGATAGAAAAACCTATCTACTCCTATTAAATTATTGACAATTCCTTACATTCACTTACATGCAAATACTTTTGAGAAAGCCATGAATTCAGCTCTTCTCCCCGAGCTATGGGTTAAATAGCAAAGCAGGCTGGTATCTTCAGCCTTGGTTGGCAAGCAACTTATAAGAAAGACAAATCTAAATTTGAAACCAGTTGGCTATGGGGGCTAGCAACTTTGTCTTGTAAAACCACCATAGCAACACCTAGTGTTGTTGAGAGCTGTGGCTCCATATCCCCCATTCGAGTATGAGAATTAAGTGAGTGTTAGTGAGTAAATATTAAGTGCCTGTACAAATCTCCAATGCTTTTTATTTAAAAAGCTATCCTTTCTAGCATATATTCAATCCTTAGTTTTCAAAAGAATAAAGGAAAGTATTCTTCAAAGAGACATTTTAAAATTTTTCACTCATATAATGATTAAATAAAGTTTGGAGACTTCAACACTCACAAGGACAAGAGAAGCAGAGGTAAGCAGTAGGTAATCTACTTGTCAAGGTTGAGTAAATAAACAAAACAAAGACTCCCCACAAAGACAATGAAGGTTCATAGTAATTTCAAATTTAAGCTGATGTGTATATTCCAATTATATTCCAGATGTTTCCTATTTTTGTTGTAGTACTTCTTGTTATTGCCAGCCTTCTCTCTTGGTCTCCCACATACAGCTGCCCTGGGTATTGCCCAGGTAAGCAATTATATTTAATTAAATAATCTTAATTCCAAATAACCTTTTTTTTTGTTTCTTTTTTTTAAATCATTGATTGATTATTGATTTGCTTTAAAAAGGATTGACGTTCAATCTTCAATTTCAAAACTTTTTTTACCTTTAATGGAGTAGTTTTACCGAGAATTCAATAATTTGCTTTCTGTGTATCATTTTAAGCATTATTTTTAAGATCTTTAATAAATCAGCATTTTTGAAATGAGGAATATATGTGCGCAAGTTTGAATTATATCAGTTTCCCAAGTAGGTAGAACATTTCTCTATGTCTCTCTCGCTCTTAGGTGAGCATGGTTCTCTACAGCTTTCTGTCTTTTGTTGGTCTCCCCAATACTTTCTTCTTTAAGACTTCACTTTGTCTTTGTGTTACTTGTTGATTAATTTCTGTTTATCCCTTCTCATGCGTTCTATGGGCCCTATGGGTGTTAAATTCAGCAAACCTTCTTTCCTTTCTCATTAGGTGTTCCAAGAATTTCAGCTGTCTCTTTCTAGTTGTTAATCACAGTTTCTTTGTAGATCTTATTCTCCTTAAAACTTCTTCATAATGAGGAAGGAGGGCTTGGAAAATCTGATACTCACAGGACAGATTAAGAACAAGAGGCACAGAGGAAAACAACACATAACCTACTTAGTGAGCTTGACTAAATGGATGGCAAAACAGAGCATAGGAGAAATAAC